AGGACTGTGTGTTGAGAAGTACATGGGAGTTTCATCTAGGTTGGGGAAGTAGAAATCTTTCAGCCTGGTGATACTCATGGTGACGGGCATGGGAGATTTGTCGAGGGAGGGATTTTATTCCTCGACTTTCTTGGATTCGGGAACGTCTTCCCGGGGACCCTCCTTCTTTTTGTATTGCTTGAGATTCCCAGCTCGAATGAGGATCTCAATGGCATCCTTTAGGTGGATGCAGTTTTCAGTCATGTGCATGTGGCTTTTATGGAACCGATAGTATGTGGTCTTGTTTGTCCCCGGTTTGGACGACTTCTATCAGGGGAAATGGACCCGGGCTTGACGAAACTCAGAATTCATGTAGTCGGTCAAGATTTGCTCGCGTGAGGTGTTGATGGATGTATAGTCATGGAAGCGACCAACTGGCTCTTTATAGTCTCGTAACTCGTGGGGTTTGTCCTCCCTTCTCTTTTTGGCTCCCCGACGGGATGTCAAGGGCTCATCGTTCTTCGAGACTTTGACATTCTCACGATGTCGCAAGTCTCGTGCGTTCTTAGTAACCTCTTTCTCTTCGTACTGGATGTATGCATGTGCCTTGAGTAGGGGGGAATCCAGTGTTGCATGAGTTTTTATGCCAACTGCTTTGGCAAATTCGTTGTGGGGTCGTAGTCCTCGTTCGATGAGGTACTTCTTCATTTTGTCATTCATGGAGACCTGGGCGGCTTCCTTATTGAACCTTTCAATATACGCTCGAAGGGACTCATACTTCCCCTGGATGATGGCCTCCATCGACACTTATGATTTGCAGTGTCAGCGAGATGTTGTAAAATGCCTGGAGTATTGTTTCCTTAGGTTCTTCCAAGATGTGATAGACTCATCAGGGAGGCTCTTGTATCAAGCCATGGCTCCCTTTCTGAGTGTTGTCGAGAAGAGTCGGCATTTGACTACTCCTCAGACCCCTTTGTAGTCGAGCAAAGCATTGATGTTCTCGATGTGCTCATCTAGATCGACGGTCCTATCGTATGTCTCCAGGTTTGGGGGTTTCTCTAGGATGACAGGAAGTGTGGTCTTCATGATCTCTCTGGATAACGGGTCGTGGGGCTCGTCATCATCGCTACGATTAGGTGATGGTGGCGGAGAGTAGTTATTTCTTCCTTATCAGAGATTGTCTTCCTGACAGGAGATATGCTCCTTTGTTGGTGCTTCAGCTTGGGTGATGGTGAACGATTGTCACTTGGACGTTGATTACCCTTCGCCCTCTTGGTGATCGGGGAGCATTAATCTTTACATGGTTCTAACCCATTTGGACTTGAGATTATTTCTATCTTATCATGGTTTTGTCTGTCTGTGCGGGTTTTCATCTGATGCAGGAGTTCTTACCGATACCTTGGGCTTATCTGATGCACTTTTTGCTTGTGATTTATTTTCACTCGATGATTCGTATACTCTTGGTTTATTTTCTGCTTGTGGCTATAATCCAAAGGAATGGGATGCATTATTTGACTTGTGTCAATATGATTGTTATTATTTGGTCAGACCTTCTTCACCTTAGATTTTACTTTATACTTTAGGATAGTCTCTTCATCTCCTTCCTCATTCTTCAATTTTGAAAACCTTATCATCTTTTTCAAAACCTTCTTGGTTTTCTAACTCGAACCTCTTTCATAATAAACCTTGACCTTGTCAAGTGATCTTTTTTTTCAAACTTCTTTTTCTTTAATCAAATGTCAATTCACCTAACCATATTCTAACTTTTTAAAAAAGACTAAAAAATATTCAACCCATTCAAACTTTTTTGTGCCCTAGTGCACCTTTTCTCTTTTAAAAACTTTTTCAAGATTAGACATGAGTCATTTATAGTCGAGATGTCATTCTCCTATCCCCCATGGTTGTAAAGGTGTTGACTCTTCCACTTGAATACTAGAGACGTTTCCAAACCCTCTCTCATGTTGATGTATTGTCCCACTTTCTCATACTTTGTGGACGGTTAGATGAGTCTTCCCCTAAGAATGATAACTTGTATCTTCATTTAAAATCAACCAACCAACACTAAGTTTTGTTATTTTTTAGAAGAACCACGGTACTCTGATTCTCTATTGCACGACGAGGATACGTAGGCACGAGGTTTCGAAACCAAGGCGAGCGTAATAATAAAAAAATTCTTTTTATTCATTAATAATTCATTCATGCATTATCTTAGCAAGTTTAAGCTTTAGATAACACACCCTTTGATTAGAACAGACATAGTGGATCTCGTTGAATACAATGGATGTTTAGGGTGCTAATATCTTCCCTTTGTATAACTGAATCTCGTACCTTGATCTTTATTTTATTTTGGGTTTCATTCTCTCTTTTCTCAATTCCCTTTAGAAACAATAAAGCGCGATGACGACTTTCACTTTGCGAGTTAAGCCAATCAATGAATTAGTCTCAACTTTTCACCGCTACAAATGCCCTTGACAATGCTAGTAGGAATAAACTGACCATTCTCTACAGCATCCCAAATTTCATCTCCTTGTGTCGCTAGATGTGCCTTCATACGAGTTTTCCAAAAGTCAAAGTATTCACCGCAGAACAGTAGAGGCTTGTTATTGCTACCACTGTATCTAAAAACTAGATTTACAAAAGCTATTTTGGATCTTTAGGAATATGTTACTTATAACCTGTTTTGATGCTAATTGTAAGTTTAGAGTGCACCTAAGAGGGAGTTAAATAGGTGCTTTGATTGATTTTCGGTTTTAGAGATGCATTACTTTAATTTTATTGTTTTGATGGTGTTTCTGAAAACGGTAAAATGAAAAAATGTAAAGAACACAGGGAATATACTAACTCCTTTCACAGTCTGAGAGTACGTCTAGTCCCCTTAAAACATATAAGAAATTTCAATAATTGTTAGAACCTTGTACAAGCCTAATCCCAGTCTCTATACACAAGTTACTAACCAAATCACTAAGGTAAATCACCTTATGATTCAACCAAGTAGAAAAAGAGAATAATACTTCTCTTTTTCATTATATTGTTTCCAAATTCTGGATTTTTATAAGATGTTTGAAGATGTAAGATGTTTATCAATTGCTAGAATTGATCTTCTCTTTCAAGTAACCAATTCAAAAATAATAATACAATTATATTACTTAGAAAGTTTTTTCGCTGATATGAAAGTATGCAGAAAAAGTTTCAAGTGTAAAAGATTTGAATTTGAATTTTTTTTGCGTATTTTAAAAATGGAAGAAGTGGTTTGAATGATTAAAAGTTTTAGTTTTTATAATGCTTAAGATACCTCTATAAAGTCAAGACAATACTTAGCAAATTAATGGTTCACTTGGCAATAATTCTGAAAAGGTATGGTGAATCAATGAAATGAAGAGATATGTTAAAAATTAGATTTTTTCAAGTTGCAACATACTCTAATCAATTAACATAATAGTGTAATCAATTACACTTTAGCCAATGTTCAAAAAATCAATTTTGAAAATTTGTAATTGATTAACATAAAAGTGTAATCGATTACACTGTGTTAAAAGTTAAAATTTTATCTTTCTAGAACCATAATGTAATCCGTTAACATATATGTTAATGGATTACACTTTTGAAAAAATTGATCTTTTCATTCTAAAAGGTCATGGTTTAAAAAGTTTCCACATGAAAAGTTTGTAAAACTTAAGCACTAATGAGACAAAAATTTCTTTGAGTATCTAATCATATAACTAAGTGAATTAAAACTTGAGGTACCTTGATCGAAGATTTAATCTCAAAATATTGAAAAGTATTACTTCATCCAAGTCTCTTTGAACACTTATTTCTTTTTGATAACCAATTTGTCTTCATCCAAACAAACACTTCACAAGAGCTTGTCTTCACAGAAGCTGATGCAGGAGTTTGAAATATCCGACTTAGAAAACTTGTCATATTTTTTAGGAATTAAGTTTAAAGATACAAGTGAAGAATTGTTCTTGCACCAGAAGAAGTATGCTCAATCTTGAAGAGGTTCAAGATAAGCAACTATAAGGAAGTTGCTACACCATTAAAAACTGGAGTAAAGTTGAAGAAGGATACAAATGGCGAGTTTTTAAGTGCAACAATATACAAGGAAATCATTGGATCCTTGAGTTATCTTTACAACACCATGCCAAGAAGTTCATCTCACTGTAGTTAAGAAGATGCTGAGATACATAAAGAAAACAATTGATCATGGTGTGCTAATGCCAAGACAAAAGAAGACTAGCATAAATGCAGAGATATATGTATCAATAAAGATTAAGACGAGAAGAAGAGTATTATAATTTTGCATATTCATGATCGAGGAAACTCCAATCTCTTAGATCTCAAGGAAGAAAAACATTATGGCTTAATCATCATACGAAGTTGAGTACATGGTGGCATCTTATACAACATGTCAAGCTATATGGATAGAGATATTGCTAGAAGAACTTAAGATCATGGACCTAAAATAATGAAGTTGTTTGTAGATAACAAGTCAACTATCAATCAAGCCAATCATCCTATGTATCATGATCAAAGTAAACACATAGAGAGAATGTATCATTTTCTCAATGATCAAGTAAATAAAGGTAAGCTTGAACTTCAGCATTGCAAGACAAAATGACAACTAGCGGATATACTCATAAAATCCCTGAATAAAGTCAAGTTCAATGAGTTGAAGAAAAGCATTGAGATGAGAAGTCTTGAGAATATAAATTAGGTGGTGTCTTAGAAGTTGTAATTCATTGTTTTGTAGGAATGTCTGTATTCGACATAAGTGTGTTCGAAGTAGTAGAAGTCACTTGTATCTGATAGAGTTGAATACAACATATAGATGTTGTGTCGAAGCCAAAATATAATTTTGTATGTTTTAATCTTGGGTTATACGTTTTGAGCTTGGATCTTGATCACCTATAAATAGACATGACGTTGTATAGTTTTATACAGTTAACAGATTTAACAACTTCACAAGTTTTATACGGGTTTTCAATATTGAAAAAACTCATGATATGTATCAGAATCAATTCTTAACCAGAAGGATGAGGTTGATTTGCACCAATCCTGAATAGAATCTCCCTCATAAACAATATTCCTTCATCCAAGCTTCTGTGAGGAAAATCCACAAACACCTTGAACACAAACTTACTGCAATCTAAATCTAAAGACAAAATACACAACAAAATCAACCAAACAGAACACAATAGCAACCACATCAACAAATACAAAATTATAAAACACAAAACAAGAATACAGACACATAAACTCTGGATGTTCAAATCTTTCGGTGGTGGAGGCTGCTTTCCATGACCGAGACACCTTGGCCCATAGGATGGTGTGGGTGATTATGATGTTGCTACTGATTGGTAGTGGATGGCGTAGAAGAGGACCAACTTAATAGAGGGTGGAGGAATGAGAAGAGAGGGGACCACCATGATGTCAACTACCGTATCTATCGCTGAAGCCTTCAAGCACTGAGGATAGAAATATGTGAAAAGTAGGAAAATAAACAAGAAACCAAGAACCCACACGAAAGGGAGGAGAAACTAGAAGGATCCGGAGACAACAACCACCACAAAACGCTAGAGGAAAAGGGGGGTAAGGAACACGGTGAGTTCTTAGAGAGAGAAACCTCATTCTCCCTCTAGAATACGTGAGTCACGAAAATATATCATTGAACCAGTCATTGATATATATTATCAATATTTTAAAAGAAAAATATATCATTGAACCAGTCATTGATATATATATATATATATATATATATATATATATATATATATATATATATATATATATATATATATATTTTAAAATTTGGACCGAATGTGACCTCAAAATCAAGATTTCATTCGTACACAATTATAATTCCAGAACCTAATATGTAAAAATAAATGGACATGTGAATATTCTATTTTTTTTCCTTCTTATTTTATTAAAATATATTGTGCAAAAAGTTCCAGACCCATTCCAGCTTAAAAAGCAAATTATAGGCTCACTAATACTATAAGTGATTAGCAAAATAAAGTCATGGAATATTTAGCAAGAGTTAAAGAACTCAACTTTTGATGACAAACATACACATGAGATAGCAACAAATAAAACACAACAAGCGCATAAGAACACAAACCTAAAAGGGAGGAGAGGCGTAAAACGATAGCATGATAGCGAAATGAGGCATATGAGTTACACGCTGATGAACAAATGCAAGCTGAACGACATCAACTGAATTCACGATGAAAAACGGCATGTTCAACAGCATTAGAGGGCTAATTTAATGAAGGTGTTGTTGTTGAAGGAGGGATTAGTCCCTTCTGAAAGAGTTGATGTTGAATGATGACATGGATGACTAGTTATGAGTTGTGATGGTTGATAACTTTATACCATGGTGAAATTTTAAGGACAAATTGTTAGAAAATATTTCCAATTTTGTAATCACTCAAGAAAGGCTTCAAAGCAAAAAAGTTGTTCCAAAACTGTTCTAAGACGAATCTTTCAATTTTTTAAAAAGCTGAAAGATCCGCCCAAGACCCTATAACGACAGATCTACAAAACCATGGTTATTTGAGAGCTGTCAGGCTGGAACTAGTCCCCATTTGAGTCGTTCAGTCCAGACCATTTTTAAATTATTGATACACATCAATATTTTAAAAACTAGTAATATGGATCTCGAGAAAAACTAACATGAACCTTCATGCAATTTATATTGATGAAATTTATGATTGATATATAGAAAACTTGTGGTTTGTGTAAAAATCAGGTTCAACTCTAATTTTACAACCGATTTTACAACACAAAAAAAAAAAAAAAAGCTTAGCAGTTTGCAGAATATCCTAAATTTATTCCTCAGTAACAAATTTCACAACCGAAATATATAAATGAGTTCAAAAGTCATTTAACATGTTTTCAAATAATCCAATGAAAAATATATAAATATCCAATAGGCATCTAGAGCTACAACCTCAGTAACAATTTCACAACCGAAATATATAAATGAGTTCAAAAGTCAGTCTCCAATAGGCATCTAAATCTTACACAACAAGAAAGCATCCTAACATATTCCTCTGCCGGCAATCAGGAGAAAACCCATCACAGAAGACTTCACCTAAAATTTCATCCTAACCCTTTTACTTCCCAGTTGAAACTGCTCCGTCAAGAACTCCAAATTATACCTGAAAGATCCATTAAAACATCCTTCCACTGCCTAGGCGGAACCTGTACACAAATTTCACGGTAAACTGCAATTAACTCAATGACACGACTCTTAGAAGCAGGGATACCTGAACCTGCAAAACTCATAATTATGTAAGATAATAATGCTATTTCCAATTTTAAAACTTCTTCTCATATAAAAGAAAAATCCCTTAAGAACTGTTGAAATTGATCGTTCATTAGTCTTCAGTGTGATGGTGATCAGGGTCCCTGACTGTAAACAAAATAATTCACACACCCAGCAAATAAACTATTATAACAAACAAACATGAGATTCATTAACTGTTGATAATTAGCTAGTTGAAAAGGGGAAAATGTTGTGTTTTATTGAAAGAAAAGGGTAAATATTGAACAACTTTGAAAGAAGGAACCAACAAAAGTTATGGCTAGAGAATAACAAAAAAACTCATAGGGACAGCAAGAGGCAGGTTAAAAACATGATTTTTTGATGAAATGCATACATGCATTGGAAACAAGAAAAAGCTCAGCAGTGCAGTACTTCTAATGTAGTTGACCACTATAGATAAACCTACTAAAGAATGCAATGGAACTAGCTTTGTTGAGATCAATGCAGAAAATATGGTTCAAACTAGAGATGCAATTTGGGAACATTGCAAAAAGTGATAAAAGCATGCACATATGATCAAACATCATGCACAATAAAAATCCCAAGGGGGAGAGGGGCATTTTCCACTTCATGGAACAGTGTACCTGTACCACCTGCACAGCGGAAAATTGTGAGCTATACTTGTTCTGTGGGTGGTATGTGCTAGAATTAAAACTATTGCCTATAACTCTATAGGAATATGAAAACAAGAGAGTGGACACAAACCAGTAACATAAACAGATTAATATCCCTCCTGAGGAGATTGCTGTTGCTGATGATTCTCGTGATATCGGCTAGCATTTTGCGAGTGCCTGTTATTGCCATTAGGTTCTTTCTCTTCCCTCTCCCTATTCCACTGCTCAATTCTCGCACGTCTCTCCTCACTACCATCCCTGACTGGACTACGATTCCTCCTTCCAACAGGACTTTGACTGCCACTGGGACTCCTTCCCCTTCTCCGGCCAGGACTTGAGGTCCTGCGCCTCCTGCTATCACTTTCATGATGATAGTCTCTGTCTCTGTCCCTGTCATCATACTTACTGCTACGGCTGCGATGAGACCTCTCCTCATAACTTCGATGCCTGTAAGGACTCCTGCTCCGGCTCCTACTGTGCCTTTCATGGCGCTTCCCAAACAACTGGCGCCTCAATTCCCTGGACAAAATTCATAGTAAACAATCACCAACCTTTAACTCAAAAACACCCAAACTAAATAGGACTATCAATCAATAATGAAAATATTACCTGCTAATTCTTTTCAAGTGCATGAAGTTGCAATAACCACCACGGTTGCAAGTATTCTCCTCGTACTGCCTGCAAGTAGCCTCACGAAAGTCTGTCACCGGAGAGAAATCAACAATGATTGGGCGACCTACAAACAAGTGAAACAACTGTTGATATTCAAACTTCACCACAAAAAAAAAACAACTCAATCATCAAATTTAATCCTGTGGCGGTGAAACTAAGAAAATTATGCTCCTCGAAAGCGATCTCTCAAGTGAATGAAAAAATCAAGAGTTGATAAAATGTTTACATTACATACATAACAAATCATGAGTGTAAAGCAATATCACCAGATTTTTTTCATCGTCAATTGAGGAAAATCTGAGAAAACTTACCGGCATAAAATCTTCCAGTGAGATTCTTAACAGCTTTTCCAGCATGTTCTTCCTCTCTGAACTGAACATACACATTACCAACCTGAAAAGTAAATCAGAAGCAAATCAAAATCAAAATTACAGAGGCTACGATTCAAAATCAAAATCAAAACGAATCAGAATCAAATCAAAATTACAGAGGCTAATACTAAGATCCGTACCATGTGATCAGCGAGATTATCACAAACATTAAGACTTTCAATATCCCCATACTTCGACAGTTCCTCAAACAAATCCTCATAGAATTCCTCAAAGTGATCTTGAATCCTACGCGGATCGATAGGCTGGCCGTGAACATCGACGCCGGGGGTAATCATATCAGGACGCTGGTACATGTTGGAGAGCAGGATTGTAGGGCTGATGCTTGGCTTCGTGTGGAGCCTCGAGCATCGATCGCCGTGTCGGCATGCTCCGATCTTGAAGTAGAATGGACAATTCACTCGGTCTTTCTCTGTGCCGAAAATTGATGCTAAGTGTTCCGCCATTGATGATCGATGAAGGTGGAATCGTTTGATTTGAATTGGAGAGGTTTTTTTTTCTGCGTTAGGGTTTGTGGATTTTGTAGGAATGGGATTGGGTAGAAGTTTCTTCTTAGTTCTAGATTGTTCGGTGAGAAATTGATTCAAATTTTAAGGAGTTCATGTTGATCAATTATTGTATGTTATTATTAAACAACAAGCTGGTTTGCCCGAGAGGTTAAGGGGGAAGACTTAAGATCTTCTGCACATAAGTGCGCGTGGGTTCGAACCCCACAGCCAGCATTAGTTTTTTAATTTAATTCATTAATGTAGAAACAAACTTCAACGGAAACGGTTGGTATCAATGTAAAAAAACTTCAATGAATATGGTTTGTATAATTTGTTTTGTTTTTATGTTAATAAAATTTTGATTCAATATTTCACGTGTAAGATTTTAATTTATATGTTGACTTGTGATATTTTATATTTAATAGTATAAAAATGTGTAGTTGTCTTATATAAAAAATGTAATAGTTTTTTAATTATTATTTTATATTTTTTTTAAAAATAGTTAATTGAAATAATGCAAAATAGTTCACCTCTAATGTGAACTTTCAACTCTAAATCAATACACATTAGTGTAATGTTCAGTTCAGTTCTAATTACTATATTACAAAAAATATTATAAAATTTTATTCTACTATAAGTTTCTTTTTACTTTTCTTTCCCCCCAAATTTAAAACTTTTATGCTATCTTTTTTCATTTCAAATTCAATAATATTATGGTACTTGTAGTGAACTTTTATGCTATCTTTTTTCATTTCAAATTCAATAATATTATGGTACTTGTAGTGAGTACAATAATGGTCAATAATATATATATATATATATATATATATATATATATATATATATATATATATATATATATATATATATATATATATATATATATATATATATATATATATATATATATATATATATATATATATATATATATATATATATATATATATATATATATATATATATATATATATATATATATATATATATATATATATATATATATATATATATATATATATATATATATATATATATATATATATATATATATATATATATATATATATATATATATATATATATATATATATATATATATATATATATATATATATATATATATATATATATATATATATATATATATATATATATATATATATATATATATATATATATATATATATATATATATATATATATATATATATATATATATATATATATATATATATATATATATATATATATATGTTTTTGTTTAATGAAATGTGTTGAGTTGTCATCTTATAATCTTGGTATGAGTCATATGACCATACTTTATTAGGGGCCTTAATGAATGACTCATCCCTTCTTATGATATATTGAGGTGTGGTTAACGAACTTAATGATACTTGGAGCTATTTTATAGCTTATGACTTGCAGGACCTCACTTGGTTAAGAGTGAGGTGGGTGACTCATCCCCGAAGTTGTAGCAGAATGTGGTAATATTGTTTGACTAATAGACATGTCTTTGACATCACAATATATCCTTTAAGTCATCTCAGTAAATTTCACATGGTCATAAGCGAGTGGGACGAGATCGTTGATATTATATAGGCTTGGGCCATATACTCATAACGGTCCAGAGTCTCCCAAACACACAAACTGTAAGGGTAAAATAATTAAGAACATAATGGTTCACAACCCCACACCCCTTCCCAATCATGAGTCATGTAAAGGTGGAGTGATTAATAGAAGACATATAAGAAAAGAAATAACAGTCAGTTTGCAACCTTGCAAGCTCGAGGCATGTAATGGAGAAGTGATTAAAGATAAAAAAAAATATAAAAAAAGATATAATTGTTCCCATATCCTCAAGAACAAGATTTGTAGTGGCGAAATAATTAAGAAAATACATATAAGAAAAATATAATTGTTCACAACTCCCAACACGGGGTTTGTATGGGAAAGTGGTTAATGGGGACGCGTCCTTTGAGATGGTGATATTCATGTGGTTAGGGTTAGGTCAACCATGATCGTCCAATTGCTGGAACATTTTGCTTTTCCGTAACAAAGGGTGTCAGTGTAGACCTTTACATCTAAAGATATTATGATTAAGTTTCTTGGGAAGGGGCGTTTGATTTGAACCCTTCGTTCAGTGCATGTTTGGAACTTTTTATGGAATCGAATTCGGAGGTCCGGAAGGCCTCCAATTGCGAAAATCACATTTTTCTAGTTTACTGTCCTGGGGGAGTTCGTTGAGCGAGTTGTAGCGAACAATAGCAAAAATTCTTGGTTTACCTTCTGTGATGAGTTCGCTAAGCGAAAGTTCGTTGAGCAATCAGTAGTGGGTGATAATAGAATGATTGTAACTTTTGATCCGTAAGTCCAAATTGAGCGTCATTTGAAGTGTTCGAAAGCTAATTCATCGATTTTTTTCATTTTTTTCATCAATAAACCTCTACTTTAGTGTATATTCGATATAGTTTACGTTATAGTGTATATATTACTTTATCGTGTAAATATCATTGAATTTAATTAATTTTGTCTCATTTTTGTAGGTATTTAATCAATGATATTTAGGCATTGAAATATATAGCATTAAATAAGCTTTTCAATGCTTCTGACCGTACGTAAATCGGAGTTATGGTTCTCAAGTTATGGCAAAAATATAATGTTAATTTTTTTCGGAACAACACATAGCACACTAAGCACCCTCTGTTGACACTGAGTGTGCCCTGCGACTTTAAAACTCATTAAATAGGTGAAAACACACATTTTTAGGCTATGAGTTGGGTATTTTTGAGTCCCAACATCATCAAACCCATTTTTGGTCTAGAGAAGCTAGAAAACAACAATGGATCATGCATCTTGATGATTCGGAGTCGGATTTCTCATCAATCAGCGCTGACAAACCGTGAGATGTTTGGGTTTTCTCCATTTCTTCTCTATGTATTTCTCTATTTGTTTAGTTATGTTTGTATATTTACTTTGAACATATGTATATTTGTTGATCATGGTATTGTATAAAGCTTGTTTTACAAATCATTGTTGATGTCTTCCTTAATCTTTTTGCTTTATATTTGGATTTGGGTTGCTAAAGACATATACCTCACAAATCTTGATTAGGGATGAATATCTATTAGTTTCTAGTTTATATAGATAGATTTAGAGTTAATAATCATTGTGGGTATCAGAGCTTAATGCCTCGGTGGTATTTGTGTTGTGCTGAGAGATTGCTGACGCGAGTAATACGGTTGTCTTCAACTTTGTGTTAGACATAACCTCTGTTGTGGTACATCTTGAGAGATACTTGATGATTTTGACGAGTATTATAGGTTGAGTGCAATTGATCGATAGGTTTTAAGTTTGTGACGAGTAGTGTAAATTCATGTCTGATAAGTTTCTCCTCTCTGAAGAATGAATTCTTTTTCTGTTAATAACTTTTAATTCCCGCATTTACTTCAAACTCAATTCAAACCAAACTCATTAACACGAGACTTATCGAACGAAAATTTAGTAGCACTAATCCCTATGGAGACGATATGATAAAACTAAATAAATACTTACTTTTTATTGTCGCTTTACCGCTTCAACAACAACTCAATCTACTCCTACTCCAAGATGGCCCAAAGGCATTGACCCAATCAACCTAGGGCTAGCAAAGGCCACGTTTACCTTCTGCCCAACAACTTTGGTCGCATGGTTATAACCCCAGGAACGACAAGATCACGCCTTCCCATGACCGCATTCCTGCCCGAGATGACGGCTAGTTTCGGGCATCTCCTCCCAAAATAATGAGCACGAGCTTCCCGTTCCTGCTTTCACGCAGAAATCCTAGCAGTTGCCTATTTTTGGGGACATCATATCCAGGCCCAAAAATAGGAACCAATGACCAAGCGCCGGAGGCATTATATTAACCATCACACATGTGAAGATCAAGTATTCAATATTCACTTCTAAACCTTATATTCTCGCTAGTATCTCTTTGCACTCTTACTTACTTTAACATCAGAGTGTCTTGCAGGTACACCCCATCCTCCATGATTCCAGCCTTACAGACGCAGATATCGATCCATTACAGATTCTAGTCACCGATAAGATCAGATATAATAGAGTGACACATCATATTATATTTGAGTTGGCAAAAATATGTATATGTAGGTGGCAAAACTGAGATGAAATGGCAAGGTGAGAGTTGTAGGTCTACGACTCTATTTTAATATATTATAATAATAATATAAATAGATAAATAGATTTTTCAGTCTTCTCATATCATCATTTCTATCTTGTGCATTCCATTAGAAATATATTAGCTCTCTTACTCATCAATCTTAACCTCAAAATTTCCTGAAAGAGAACCCATTCCTCTAAAATCTCATTCTCATACTTCTTCGAAGACTTCTCCTCCCAAACTCAAGAAAACAACTTCATCTACTATGCTGATAGTGATCTATTCATCTCTCACTATCTAGATGAAGATCTCTTCAAGAATTTCTCTTTCATGGAAGCCATTAACTTTGATAGGTTGAAGAACTTTATTTTTAGAAGCCTCAAGAGAGATACCCGGAACCATAGGCGTAGCCAGCGTCCAGCCAGGTAGGACAACTTCTTAGGCTCCGCCGTCACTTTTCACCATCCAATACATGTTTCATTTTACACTCACACTCTTTCAATTTCTTAGATCCCTTCTTCTAACCCTTTCTTCTTCTTTTTCTCTTCTCTTTTTCTGTAACCGTTTTCACAAACCCTAGAAAACCACAACGAAGAACCACCATAACCGCTCTCACACCCTTTCTCTTTTTTATTATTCAGTAATTTCTCACTCAAAAATCCCCATATCTAATAGTTTACTTTTGATTCATGTTTTTTCAAACGTTCTTATGTATTCTACCAACGCCGTTTAAGTCTAGTACTTCAGTGTCACCAGATACTAAACTGAAAACACCTTTAAGTACTCCGGTTTTGAAATC